ATATTTTACCACAATAAAAAAGAAAAAATTAACATAATTATTTTTAAGTGTTCAGTTCTGTGGCATTAAGTACATTTACTTTGTTGCATGACTATCACCACCACTAATCTCCAAGACTTTTCCATCTTCCCAAAATAAACTCTATAACTATTAAAAAATAACTCCCTATCCCCCCATTACTCCAATCCCTGGCAATCACCTATAAGATTATTGACACTTTATTCTATTTATCTATATCTACAAGTATTTATCAATCTATTTATCATATTGTATAATCTATGGTCTATCTTTCTATCATGAACTTATCTATCTACCCAACATCTATTTATCTCTGTTCAATACCATAAAACATTATTACACTGTGAATATTTAAATATTTTCTTTCTTTTTTATTCCTTACTTTCTTACTGCATCTTTTCCATCTAAATAATTTTCCTTTGGTCATAAGGAAACCCTTTAGTACACCCTTTAGTGCTGGCCTGTTGGTACCTAATTCTGTCCATTTTGATTTTCCTTATTCTTTTTACTGGACATACCATTATTTCACCTTCATTCTTGAAATATATTTTGTTAGCTATTAAACTTTGGGTAGGTTGTCATTTAATTTTAGTAATTTGAAGAGAAAATGAAATTGCATTGGCTTCCATTATTTGTGTTAAAAAGTTAGCCATTAGGGGTGCCTGGGTGTCTGCCTCTGGCTCAGGTCATGATCCAGGGTCATGGGATCCAGCCCTGCATGGAGCCCCACATGGGGCTCCCTGCTCAGTGGGGAGTCTGTTTCTCCCTCTCCCTCTGCCCTTCCCCCCACCCCTGCTCATGCTCTCTCTTTATCTCAAATAAATAAATAAAATCTTAAAAAAAAAGTTAGCCATTAGTTTAGTTAAGACTCCTCAAAGGATAATCCATCTCTATCTTTTGCTTTTACTTATTTTACTATGACATACCTAGGCAAGAATTTTATTTTTTTAAATTTTTTAACCTGTGATTTATTTGTTCATATTCTTAATTTCTGCATGATGTGTTCTATTTCTTTCTGGAAAATTTAAGCCACTATTTTTTCAAATGTTGGTTCCTCCCCATTCTATCATTCTGGAACTCCAATTGCACATGTTAGATCTTCTCCTTTCTGTTTAATATTTCCATCTCTATAGCTTTTCATGTTTTAATACATGTAGTTTCTTCTGGGTTATTTTCCTGTTCAAGAATTCATTTTTCAGTTATGTCTAAACTGTTAAAACTGTATGTTGAGTTATTAATTTTAATCAATTATTATATTTTTCATTTTTACATTTGTTTTATAATTGACATAAATATTTTTATAGAGTCCTCTGATACTGTTATTAATATGTATTTAGTATTCTTAAACATAGTAATATAGTTATCATAAAATATATTTGTTAATATCAGTATTTGAAGGTCTTATTGGTCTATTGTCTTTTTTTATTGTTGTTTATTTTTATTTATCTCATATCCTAATATACCTATATTTTTCATTCTAAAATATTTTCTATTGTTTGTAGAACTATCTGGAGGCTATGGAGGATGCTATCTTCCTTTGTCAATTTTGGGAAATGTGAAGTCTGGAATCATGTTAATCCTTTTTGTGGTACAAAGTTGATTCAAAGCTATACTGAAGTCCTTATTAAGTGTAGTCTACTTTCATTTAATCCTTACTCCTAGAGTACAGCTCTTCAAGGTCCCAATCCAAACTCTAAGTCATTTGCCAGCTCATGTCCTCAAACTCTCATGGTTCCTAGATTCCAATGTTGTACCCATTTTCAGCCTTTTGGCACCTCATCCAGAAACAGCAAATGTTCCCGGAGAAAAGCAGCCTCAAAACTGGATTTCATCACTGGATGTCATCCCTGGATTCTGCCTTCTCTTGAACCTTGATCAGTGATTATTTAATAGGCAGTTAAATAATGTCTATATGGTTATCTAATGTCTTCAATGTGTGTGCATGTATATGTGTATGTGCCCGCACTGTGACACACAGCATCATGTGACATTTTATAACACTTTCATCAAAATAACATATGGAGAAAGGGGAACCCTCCTACACTGTTGGTGGGAATGCAAGCTGGTGCAGCCACTCTGGGAAAACAGTATGGAGGTTCCTCAAAAAGTTGAAAATAGAGCTACCATACGACCCAGTAATTGCGCTACTGGGTATTTACCCCAGAGATACAAATGTAGTGATCCAAAGGGGTACATGCACCCCGATGTTTATAGCAGCAATGTCCACAATAGCCAAACTATGGAAAGAGCCAAGATGTCCATTGACAGATGAATGGATAAAGAAGATGTGGTATATATATACAATGGAATATTATGCAGCCATCAAACGGAATGAAATCTTGCCATTTGCAACCACGTGGATGGAACTGGAGGGTATTATGTTGAGCGAAATAAATCAATCAGAGAAAGACATGTATCATATGATCTCACTGATACGAGGAATTCTTACTCTCAGGAAATAAACTGAGGATTGCTGGAGTGGTGGGGGGTGGGAAGGATGGGGTGACTGGGTGATAGACACTGGGGAGGGTATGTGCCATGGTGTGCGCTGTGAATTGTGTAAGACTGTTGAATCACAGACCTGTACCTCTGAAACAAATAATACATTATATGTTAAAAAAAAAAGAAGATAGTAGGAAGGGAAAAATGAAGCGGCAGGAAATCAGAGGGGGAGACAAACCATGAGAGACTATGGACGCTGAGAAACAAACTGAGGGTTCTAGAGAGGAGGGGGGGAGGGGGATGGGTTAGCCTCTTGACGGATATTAGAGAGGGCACGTATTGAATGGAGCATTGGGTGTTACATGCAAACAATGAATCATGGAACACAACATCAAAAACTAATGTTGTAATGTATGGTGATTAACATAACATAATGAAAAAAATAACATACGGTAGATAGATGAAGATCATCTTAAAGAGAAATGTAACAAATATGTCAATATATAATGTACATGGTAAGTGATCCTATATGAAAGAATGAAAAAAAGTATATCCCTAAAGTAAAAATCAAACTAGAATCTAGGTAAAATATCATTGTCACGTGAGTTATAACAATATATTGATCAATAAACCCGGTATGTTTTAAAAGAGGGAATTTTTTTTGTTCACATGTGTCAGAGCTCTAGCTTAAATAATAAATTATACAATGTTGTCCTTTGTAAATTAAGAAGTAGAGAAAGTTGGGGCGCCTGGGTGGCTCAGTTGGTTAAGCGACTGCCTTCGGCTCAGGTCATGATCCTGGAGTCCCGGGATCGAGTCCCGCATTGGGCTCCCTGCTCGGCAGGAAGTCTGCTTCTCCCTCTGACCCTCCTCCCTCTCATGCTCTCTGTCTCTCATTCTCTCTGTCTCAAATAAATAAATAAAACCTTTAAAAAAAAAAAAAGTAGAGAAAGTTGAATAAAGGGTTCTAGTTACTTTAAATTGACTAATGTATAAATAACTTTGAAAGTATTACTTCTGAACTCTTTCATTCACATAATTTTGGTAATCACTTTCACAGTGAAAATTCAAACAGCAATGCTCATATTTAGCTCTTGGTTTAGAATTACTTTTTTAAGCAATGTCCTTAGCATGGTCAACCAGACCCTACATGCATGCACTTACACACTCAAACACACTTGTACACATAACTTTACTTATGTGTTAATCTTAATTGACTTCATGAATTAGAGCAAGAGCTCATGAAACTGAAATTATGTTGTCAAAACACTAATAACTTTTATTCTATATAATTTTAAAATTATTTAGTGGCATCATTATTGGTAAAAGAATACAAATAAAACACACCTACTTACAAGAATCAGTTGCAAATGTATACATATTTATGTATACATGTGTATATAGACATATATGTATGTATATACACTAATACGTATGTAAATATATACATAGACAAATATGTATATATTTGCAAGTTTGTACCATACATTAAAATAGTATGCATGTATACACTTATTTAGTATTCTAAATTTTGTCTGATTTTGTACTTTTGAGATTTTGTTAAAAGGAATATAACCCCCCCAAAAAAGAATGATCAATAAATTGAGATATAGCTAATGAAAAAGTCAATATTGAAAGTATTACCAGAATATTTTACAGACTATATGTTGCATTAAAATTCACACACTATGTTTTTTGCTTGAAAAACTAAACATGGATATCCTGCCATGGAAATCAATATAATTCTTACACATATATGTTTTCAGGATTTTCCTTTCTTATATAAAGCAATTACTTCAAAATCTGTAGTTAAAATATGACTGAAGCAGATACAAATAATTATCCTAAAGTCATTTTTGCTGCCATTTAATCCTTAGGATTGAATAATTGATGAAAGTATGCTTACTGAAGAAGCACTAAGTATGTACTTTGTACAGGCATTTAAATCACTCTGACTTCTCATTCATTAGCATTTCTAAGCAAGATGATTTATGCAGAATGTTCTGATTTATAATAATGCAGATCTAAGAAATCGAGGTAGTAGCGTGTGCTCTAATTATAACACCACTTCAACTATCCAAGGCAATTTCTTCCTCCTTTAGTTGGGAATGGGTTTACACAATTAAGAAATCATCTTGATAACGTTAATATAACACCTGCATTACATAATGTCACAAAATGATGGCGCTAGGAATAAGGCTCTCCAGGAATTAATTTTAGCCTAAAGAATTATACACAGAAAGATAATACATGGATTGAATTTTTGTCATATCTAATTTAAAAAACAATATTGTAGAAAAATAACATACCATATTTTAAAATCTGTGCCAAAATCTTTAAACATATACAAATAAATTAAAATGTGTAGTGACTTCAGAGGAAAATTCTTACATTTCACATAATTATTATTGTTTAACCCTTAATAACTTTTTTATTTGCCTATCTACCCCATAACCATTCACAATTTTATTTTAATTTTAATATTTCTTAAAATAGTCCCTGAAAACCAACAATAATTTGTTATAGAATTTAATAATATATTAAGTACCTATTTCTTGTGACGTAGATTTTAGAACAGAAAGTCTTGGTTTCAAGTACCTTCTTATAAGTTGTGTACTATTCAATTTGAGGGTGATAATTTCATTTCTTTGAGCTTCATGTTCTTCAACTTAAAAATGGAAATAATAATAAATTCCAAATAACATGGTTGCTAAGTGAATTTGTTGAGAAATAGCTTGGTGGTTGGCAGAGAAACAGCATTCAAAAAATGATTTATTACCATTATTAAGGATGATTATTAGAAATTCACTCAAACTTAGATTATTCTGGAGAGAATACTTTTTTAACAAAATTGTGTATTAGTCTAATGATTTGGCTGGATTTTTAGAGTATACTCAAAGACTTACACTATATTGCTCTGAGCAACCGTTTATTGTTCATTTACTTTTTAAAAATGATTTAATATTGTGTTACCTACTAAATTTTAGAAATTTTAAGCAGAGCCACTTGACATAATTCATTTCTTCTTCTGTAAATTAAATTATTTTATATTTTTTATGGAAATAATAATGTTAAAATATGTTAATATGTCATCTTTAAGAAATATGCAGAAAAATAAGACAACTGATCTATAATCCAAAGCACTATTGCCATCCTGTTTTTTGTGTGTTTGAGTGTGTGTCTTTTCCTTTTTTCATACATATTCATTTACAGATATTTATTTATGCAAAGACACTAGAAATGGATTTTGTGAAATATTTGAAATAAAGATTGGAGATGGATAGAATTCATCAAAGCCAGATAGAAAAATGTGATGACAAAAAAGGTGGGACATTGGGTGTTTCTGTGATATCAAACATACAGCAAATACGCAATGCAGACCTAGGAAGAAGAATTATTTTTGTTTGATCATGTCTTACTCAGAGTTTGTGCATGAAACAAAAAAAATGGGGAATTAAGGAGGCCAGTATAGAAAAATGCTTGTGTCTAGGAAATGACAAAGGTGGCCTAAAATCAAATGCATACTGTGAGAAAAGAAGAAAGGAGTTGCTGAATCAAAACAGAACAAAACAAAATAATTTCAAGTGCTGAATTCTATATGACTTGGAAAATATTTTCAAAATATTAAGAAGGGGTGCCTGGGTGGCTAGTCGTTAAGCGTCTGCCTTCGGCTCAGGTCATGATCCCA